AAACGTCTCAGAGCTAGGATCAACTATGTAGCGTCAAGGGTTTGGGGTCTGTGGCCAAATGTTTAGGGGCTAAGTTCTACTATGTAGGGCTAAGGGTTTGGGTTCTGTGGCCAACTGTTACAGGGATAGGTTAAGACTATATAGGGCCAACGGTTATAAACTCGGTCGCCAACTGTTTAGGAATTAGGCTCGACTATGTAGACACAAGGGTTTGCACTCTGTGGCCAACTGTTTTGGAGATAGGATCGACTATGTAGGGCCAAGGGTTTGGTGTCTGTGGCCAACCTTCTCAGAGCTAGGTTTGACGATGTAGGGCCAAGGGTTTGGACTCTCTGGCCAAATGTTTAGGAGATAGGATTGAGGATGTAGGTCCAAGGTTTTGGGTCTGTGGCCAACCGTCTCAGGCCTGGGATTGACTATGTAGGGCCAAGGGTTTGGTGTCTGTGGTTGAATGTTTAGGGGCTAAGTTCGACTATGTCGAGCTAAGGCTTTGGGTTCTCTGGCCAACTGTTATGGGGCTAGGTTCTAATATGTAGGGCAAAGGGTTTGGGGTCTGTGGCCAACCGTCTCAGGGCTAGGATCGACTATGTAGGGTCAAGGGTTTGGGGTCTGTGGCCAACCGTCTCACGGCTATGATCGACTGTGTAGGGCTAAGGCTTTGGACTATGACGCCAGCTGTTTCGGAGCTAGGATCAATGATGTAGGGCCCAAGGGTTTGGGGTCTATGTCCAACCGTCTCAGGACTAAGATCGACTATGTAGGGCCAAGGGTTTGGACTCTGTGGCTAAGTGTTTCGGAGCTAGGATTGACACTGGGCCAAGGGTTTGGGGTCTGTGGCCAACCGTCTCAGGACTAGGATCGACTATGTAGGGCCAAGGGTTTGGTGCCTGTGGCCAACTGTCTCAGGGCTAGGATCGACTATGTAGGGCCAAGGGTTTGGGGTCTTCCGGGATCTTTTGGGGTGCTTCCTTATTCTAATTGTCTAAACACCACAAGCTTCCCAGCTGTTTTTGAAAGCAAGGCACCTTTCTGAATGCCTGACTACACATTTTATTTGCTGACATGATGCAGCTAAGTGTTAAATGTCAGGTTTATTTCTTAAAATCATGCTAACACATGCATTAATCTAATTTGAATGTAAAAAACATACGTAGAGTGCTTTGGGTTGTTGGGTTATTTTCACCAGATTTCACTTCCAAAATATGTATATAAAATACACAGGCTCATATTTGTATAAATTAAAGTAACTGTCACACAGAGTAGCATGCACATAAAAATGCTCTGACAGTAATTTTCAGTCTTCCGAAGCAGTAACAGTTTCATCAAGCAGATCAATCTGTTACAAAACAAAGGTCCAGACTCCTACATCTTTATTTATCCAATGTACCACATTTTATGAGCTATCCCTCTCATCCCCAACCCTCAGTTTTAGTAGTTTTATCTCATGTGAAGCTGAATGATTATGACTACTTCTATTACAAATTATTTAGATGCAGCATACCACAAGTAGTAAGCTAAGTAAAGGAATATTATTCCTGCAATAGAAGTCCATGATTCTCTCCAAAAGAGACCATCAAATAGAACTCTACTGAGATAGAATGTCTATAATGGATACAATATTTTAAAATAAGTAAATTTCTCACTTAAATATGCCCATACACACACATATATATGCTTATATATGAGAAATAAAATTATATTTATTTCAATCAAATCATGAAAATAGTTATGAGAAATGATAATACATTTCTAGCAATCTAGAAGATTAATTACAGAAGTGTCAATTACTGACTATGTATTTTTCTTTGTTCAATTACAAAATCAGCTTGAGTTCCATATTATGTCACCATATTTCCTTCTTGACAGTCATATAGTAATTTTGGAAGTTTTATGTCATGCACAGCATTCACAGAGGCAAGAAAATGAAGGTAAGAAAAAGCTTATCCAGGACTATCTTGTCTATGTCCTGCTTATTTGAAAACTACTCGGTGTTATAGTCACCGATACTCATCTTCTATTGTGTAAAATGGAACAAGAGAGCTTACAGCATTTCACATGACAATCTCTGCACTTTTATTGCTATCTAGCAAAATGCACATCTGCATGTTTTCCCCATTACAGCAATCCTAACACTCACATTTACTTATTATCTGCTATCAAACCAAAGGTCTCAGAAGACTTTCCAGAAGAGAAAGCCTCGTAGATGTGGATGTGCAATGTGGAATTGCAATCAAGTATTTGTGCAAATATAAATTCTATTCCTTTTGAAAATTGCTCTTGTCTGGAATGTCTGGAAATAATAACAGATAAGTCCCTAGAGTGATCCTATGTAATGTGTACATGCACACATACACCTATATGTAAGCTCTAGAATTATTTTGCTTTGGTCTGAAAACAGTACTCTAGACACTGTAACTTTTTAAAAACCTGTTACTAAGATCACCCTGCAATTTGTTTCATTTTGTCTGCTTCAGCCTCCATTTCTCTTCCAAATGTCAGGTCTTTATTGCCATTGACACAGATATATCCATAGAATCATGGAAAGGGTTGGAAGGGACCATAAAGGTCACCTAGTTCCAACTCCCTGCATGGGCAGGGACACCTCCCACTAGACCAGGTTGCTCAGAGCCCCATCCAACCTGGCCCTGACACTTCCAGGGAAGGGGAATCCACAACCTGTTCCAGTGTTTCATCACTCTTATACTAAAGAATTTCTTCCTAATGTCTAATCTAAATCCACCCACTTCCAGTTTTGATCTATTACCCCCTGTCTTATCACTACACACCCTGGTAAAAAGTCCCTCCCTAGCTTTCCTGTAGGCCCCCTTCAGGTACTGAATGGTTGCTGTAACAGTATCTAAACCCAAGAAAAGGAAGACAATTTCGTTGATCACATATTATAAATTAAGGTATATTAGAGTTTACCAATATTGTCTTCTGTTTACTGCATTTTCATAGAAAACTATTCTTTTCCAAATTTGTAATAATGTTTAAAGATACAGACTTTATAACCACTTAAATGGCACTTCTCACAGAATCCCTATATAAAAATATCCCCATGTAAAACAGACAAGAGGCCAGTCTACTGTCAAAAATAACATACTACATTTGCATAGTCATAAGAGGGATTTAAGTATCATTTCAAATTGCATCTCTTTGTAGAGCTGGGGAAAGGTAGAAGCCCTGTTACAAAGATTTGTATTTACTTGTATTACAGAAGAATTTTGAAGATGCAAATTAGAGTGAGGTTCTAGTTCCATGTCAGAGATAGAAATCTGTAGTCAAGAAACCCTCCAAAATCAAATAAAGAGATACAGAAGTTGGGCTTGATATAAAAGTCAATAAAAAGTAAGTACAGAAGGCTAACTTGTTCCTTCCTAAAAAAAAATTATAAACCTGTCTGTGTTGCTTTGTAACATACAGAAATGTAAAGGCAGGCACAGCAGAAACTCACAAGTTTAGTCCTAAAAATTGGCAATTACAGAAAACTGTTTCTTTCAAGTTTGCTTTTTTGACTCTTAAGTGAGGTTGTATGGAGGACCCCAGGCAACTTATTTTACAAAAGAGCAAAGCAGAAAGCTTCTTAAAGCTGTGCTACATGAACAAAGGGCCCTGAAAGCAGTGAAGAAGTAACATCCCCAGGATGACTTTATTATTTTATAAATTAAAAAATTGTTAATAAAACTAAAATCTTGGTTGGAACTGTTGGCTAGAAATTGGGATTTTTAATCAATCAATTATGGGCCCTGCACCCTTTACAATCTACTGCTTCTCCTAGTAGGATCAACAGGGACAAGCTCTTCCTAAATTTATTATAAAAACAGCTGAAAGCTGTTCCTCTCTTTCATTTTCATTTCCTTTTCTTTCCTTAGTGGCTCTGCCCTGCTCACCCCAGATGCATCAGGTGATGAGCTATGCTACCCTCTGTGCCAGGCTGGGCAACTGCAACAGAAGCAGAGAAGGAATGCATAAGTGTCACCTTTGTCGGATGCAGCCCCCTTGTCCCAGCTGGGAGAGCTCCGTTTGGCTCTGCCCCACCCCCAGCCTCTCCTTCCTGCCCCATCTGTCACCTGGCACCTCTGTTGTGGGCCTGGCAGCCCCCTGGTGGGCTGGGAGTGGCCTCTGCTTCCTCCATGGGCGGACACCGGGTGGGGCAGGATCTAGGGAGGATTTGAGGGACACAGGAAGGACCTAGGGAGGGTTGGAAGGGTCCCAGAAAGAATTGGAGGATGCTGAAGGGGCTCTTGGAGGGCCAAGAGGGACCTAGGTAGGCTCAAGGGCTCCCAAGAAGGATCTAGGGAGTCTCAAGGGGGGGTCCCAGGAAGAATATGGGAGGTCATGGAGGTTCCAGGAAGGATCCAAGGAGGCTACCACTGGAGTGCAGCCATTTCCGCAGCTGCCCTTCTCAGCTCTTCCTGCTTCCTTCAGTGGCTTCAGGTGCCTCCAAGGGTCTGGGAAGGAGGGATGGACGGAGAACAAGGCCTGCCAGGGCTGCAGGGCAGGGCAAACCAGCCACAGGCCACTCACATCCACCAGCCAGAAGTCAGGGTCTCTTGTGACCACATCCATTATGCTGCTTGCCAGCTGCTCCTCATAGATGCTGGAGTCTCTCAGTGCCTCAATGGTTATGAGGATTAAATCTGTCCTCTCCAAAGGCTGGAGCTGCTCTGCAAACATCTTTGGGAGGAAGGCAGAGAGGGAAGAAATGTCACACCAAGTGCCCTGGTGTGGCTGCTGTGCTGGGCCCTGCCAGTAGCGCAGGGGGGCCGGCCCCCACAGCCAGCCAGGCCTGGGCGGGTGGCCAGGAGGGCTGGAGCTGGTGGTGGGGCACTAGCCTGCAGCCCTCACATGGTCCCGGCTTGAAGACAGCAGGAACCCTCTCCCTAGGGACATCCAGGCTAGCCCAGCCCCACTGTTCCTGGGTGCTGTTGCTCACACAAGTCCCCTGCTGAGGCCATGGACAAGAGTCCCAGCAGGGGGGAGCTCAGAGAGCTCCTTACCTCGATGATGTCTGTAGCGCTGGTCACACAGCACACAGCTGGAAGCTGCTGCTCAGGAATCCCAGTGTCCCAGATTGAGTCGGACTGGAAGGCACCTTGAGGATCATCTAGTCCTAAACCCTTGCAATGGGCAGGGACACCTCCCACCAGACCAGGTTTCTCCAAGCCCCATCCAACCTGCCCTTCAACACTTCCAGGGATGGGGCAGGCATAGCCTCCCTGGGCAACCTGGGCCAGTGTCTCACCACCCTCACAGAGATTAATTTCCTCCTAATGTCCAACCTAGATCTCCCCAGTGAATGCCCCAAAGGCCTCCAACACATTCCCCCTGCCCTAAGGTGTTTCCCTGGAGCAGGGCTAGGCATGGTAGCCCCCTGCCCAGGCCCTGTCTGTGTGCCCCAGCACAGCTCTGCCCCTGCTCACCGTTGCTGATATGGAGCAGAGCTGCACCTCAACCTGGCCTAGCGGCGCCAGCAGCTCCACAGTCGCCCAGGGCATCCTGATCTTGCCTTCATGCTTAGACAGCCCAGAATGTAACAGGTCTGAGCTGCTAGGCAGCGGACAGAGGCTTTGCTGTCCTTCGTCAAGGGCTGAAGAGCTGTGACCGAAAGAGAGAGCCAAGAAGTCCCATGGTGTCTGCACAGACCCCTCGGCATCCCCTCCAGAGTACAGCATCCCCTTTCCCTGGCCAGGAGAAAGCTGCAGCTCAGCAATGCCCCAAGTGTCCCTGACATATCCCCCTCTCCTGATGAGTTTCCCTAGAGCAGGGTCAGACACGGCAGCCCCCTGCCCAGGCCCTGTCCCAATCCCATCACAGCTCTGCCCCTGCTCACCACCAATGATCTCCGATAGCTTCTCCTTGCTCTGCTTCCGCGCGACAATCCCTGGGAACAGAACGTGGTCAGAGCGCCCCTGCTCCCCAGCACCTGCCCAGCACAGCCCCGGCCCGGCTGCCTCGGCCGCACGCCCCGCTGCCCCTCCGCAGGGCTGGCCCGAGGAAGGGAGGAGCTGGCAGGGAGCACTGGGCAGAGCAGCCCCCTGCATGGGCAGGGGGGCAGAGGGAGTCCAAGGCTCTGCCCGGGGCAACCGGGGCTCGGGCAGCCACAGGGCTGTTTCCTCTGCCCGGGCAGAGGCGGGGCCTTGGGCCCGGCTACCAGAGAGGGTCCCCGAACGCTGTGACTCACCGATCAACCTGATGGTCTCCTCCCTCACGGTGGCCCGAGGGTCCTGCAGGTACGGTAGGCTCTGGTGCAAGTACTCCTCGGCCCTGCTCCTGCCCAGCTGCAGCTGGAGAGAGCAGGCGGCTATGGGCATGTCCCAGTCCCTCCCGCCAGCACCCGCCCAAAACATTCCCATCTCCCAGTCGGGAGCCCCGTGGGACTGAGGTTGAGAGGGAGCCACAAGCAGAGAGGTGCAGAGACCCCCTCCCTCCTGGTGGTTGTGGGGAGGGGAGAGGGGCCCAGAGAAGAGCCCTTGGGGGCTCTGCTCTTGGGGACAGGGAACAAAGAGGCAGCTCCAGGCTTTGAGCTCCAGGCTGGAGCAGGGCCGGCCAGGCACAGCTGTAGAGCCCACAGCCCAGACACGGGGGCAGCCCTCATTCAGCCTGAGCGCTGAGGCTTGTCCTCACCAAGCAGTCTCCAATTCTCCATATTTCCTTCGTCTCCACAACCTCCCTCAGCTGTTTCCATTCGAGGAGCTCTGCTGCAGCCAGGAGGGCTCTGCTGGAAGCCTGCACAACAGCAGCAAATGGGAGATGGCACCAGGGTCTGGGGAGGGAGACTTGGTGTCCCCCTCCACTTGGGCTGATCCTGCCCCTAGAAGCTGGAACATGTCTTGGCCCAAACATCTGGGGGTCTCTTCCTACATCTCTGCTTAGCTTTGAAATTTGTACCTTGGCCACGCACTGGCTTTTGTCCCTCAGGTGAAAGCAAAGCAGGAGCAGGCCCCTTCGCACTTTGCTCTTCATCTGCCTCTTCTTCCCCCCAGCCACCCTCACCAGGTTCGTGAAGAGGAGGATGGCAAGCTCCCTCACCTCACCGACACCCTGGTAGGGAGAAGCATAGCAGGACTTCAGCAAGAGCAGCTCTGCCCACCATGAGCTTTGGCCCTCTGAGAGCAGCTGTCAGGGAGAAGCCAGGCTGGGCTGCAGAACCCAGAAGCCCTCCCACAAGAGCCTAGGGTTGAAAAGGAGAGGAGCAGCCCCTGCTCTGAGTGCTGCCCACAGGGCTGGGCTGCAGGGCAGCTGTCCTTGCCCGAGGTCCTCTGTGGGCCTTACACCAGCCTTACATCATCAAAGAGGGGCAGGAGCTTGTCCACCAGCTCCACAGCAATGGTGCTGGCCTCCTCCCTCCTCAGTTGAGGCATCACATTTAGGAAGAGCACTAGGGCCTTCATCTTGATATTTTTGCTGCCACCCTGCAGGAGCTCCATCAGGTCTGGCAGGAGCACCTGCATTTTTCTTGCCTGCATGAAATAAACAATGTCCATGTTGTGGAAAGGCCCATGTGTGGAAAGCCCCCCAGGCAGCCACCAGGCCCCACATGGCAGGGAGGGTGCTGAACTGACTCCCAGCCAAGGCCACCACCCCAGGCCCTGCCCCAGCCCCCGGCTGCCACCGTGGCTCCCCTGGGTGAGCCTGCTCACCATGCCAGGTCTTGCTGACAGTGTCACCAGGCCCCTGAGTACCAGGGAGAGCATCACACCCCTGGCATGCTTCAGAAACCTCCACAATTTGTACTTTTCAGCAAAGTCCTCCTCTGGCAGGTTCATACTGGCCAGCAGCTGAAAGAAACCCAGCTGTGAGGGGTGGGCAGCCAGTGGAGCTCCCCATACCGGGCAGCTCCTGGTTCCCACCAGCAGCTGAGGACAAGAACACGGGGGCTTTTCCTGGGAACTCACAGTCAGGCAATATGTGTCCTCTTTGAGAGTGCAGAAGAGCATCTTCTGTCCCTGGTGCTGGGTCAGCAGCTTGGTTAGAACCTTCTGCAGTGTCTGAGGTGTGGAGAACATCACCTCCCACATGGCCAGGGCAGCCCTGCAAGCCAGAGTGCTCTGTCAGCAGGGCTGCCTCAGCCACAGCAGCAGAGCTCTGCGAGTCTGGCAGCCAGGGGGGGTTCTCCAGGCTCCTCTCCCTTCAGGGCTGTCAGGGCCAGTACCTGTCTCCTGGTGGAGCCACCCTCAACAGCACATTGACTGCCTCCCTAGGGCACTTGGCAGCCACGGCCAGGG